TGCTTTGATAAATATTGTATGCAGCAAATCTATTGGCAACATCCTAAGAATGAGTGTTTGGATGCACAAATATCACCCGGCTTGGCCATAGAACAGATGTCATGGTCAAGCATGACCCAGTCAGCATTGTTTGGATGACTTGGGGAGGCCTTTAAATTCTCTAGGCAGATGTTATATCAAATGGAATATAGTTACTTCTATTAACCCTTTTACTGCAGGCAGTAGTGGCATGTAGGCAATAGCAGCTGTGAGATTGTTTGTTTCTACTGCCATGATCTGGGAGGCTGTAAAGGTGGCTGCTTGCCCTAACCTAAAAAGATAAAGATTATCTGCAGGGAAATAAAAAAAAATAAAAAAATCCCTGTTTGTTAATATCTAGGGGACCTGTGTGAAGGACTCTTACTTACCTGATCAGTGCTTTCTCAGGCTCCAAGACTGGCACCCAGGGCCAGATTTCCCACATGGCCAACCAAGGCCTGGCCTCGGGGCAACAGGGAGTAGAGGGGCAGCAGGGGTGTGGAATTCCTATCTCCCGATGCCCAGGACATGCAGTTCCTAGCGCGGGTCGGGTAGTTGTCTTCTACAGTTAGCCCTGCTTTGGGCACGCAGAGCTAAATGTACAGCGGGGAAGCCGCCGCTTGTTTTGTACAAGTGATCGCGGCGATGTCGCGGAGATCACTTGTATGAACCCTGTCAGATCTGCCATTCTCCATTAGGGAGGGGGGGCATTTGGCAGGTAGGGGCAGGGGGCAGCAGAGAGAGTAAATCCGGCTCAGCTCCAGCGGTCAAAGGCCCACTGATGTAATCGCCTACAATGCAGGGCCTATGGAAGGACTTTGCATGCTCTCCTTGTGCTTGCGTGGGTTTCCTTCGGGTACTTCGGTTTCCTCCCACACTCCAAAGACATGCCGCAAAGTTAACCTCTTGCCGTCCACCCGTAGTAAAAACTGCAGCATCTGCGGGTTGCCGTCTCCAGACGGCAATTTTTTTCTGCTCGCGCGCGCACCTGTCTAATATTGGCTCTAGTATGTGTGTGCAATAAGGACATTTTAGAATGTAAGTTCCTCAAGGGCAGGGACTGCAGTGATGTGCAGTATGTAAAGTGCTGCATAAATTGTTGGCAGTATATAAATACCTGTAATAAATATAAACTGGAAAAGATCACTCACTTGTTTTGCTTTGTTTCACACTTACATGGTGCTCTTTTTAAACTGCTTTGTAAATTGTTCCTCGAAATTCTCTGCACTCGTTATAGCCAGATTGTGATAATATAAATTCTGTGCAACTGATTCCTTTTTTTTGTCCACTCCAATGCAGCGGTTAAATGAAGCAGTAACATTGCATTTTATATCTGATGATCATGGATCTAAATATAACAATCTTCTGGATCATGTCTTTGTTACAGGTATAGAATTGGATTCCTTTCCCTCAGCTACTTAGAATTCTCCAGACCGCCAAACTAAACAGCTTTCTCTGGTCACAGGAGGCCTTGCATGCTTGTGAAATAGCATACATTCCTACCAACTGAATAACATGTAAAAATAGACTCCTGAGTTCTGCCTTCTAGATTTTAGAGCAAATTGATGTTCTTTTCATAGCAGCCTTTAATTCAGTATAATGTCTCTCTTCTTGCTTAATCAGATGGAAAGAAATAGGCAAAGTGGCTGTGTTATTTTTGTTGCATCTTCTTGAAACCATAAGTACCTCCCAACCCCACCCAAAACTTCTTGGGGACACCAGAATAAGAAATGAGAGGCTGCAGATGTCACCAGGACAGGAAGCCAACAGAGCAATAAAAACCTGAGTTCTATCCCATGCCCACGCTACTAAGCCATATGGTTTTGTTGCTATCTCTATCACCATCACTTCCTGCACCCTCGCACTGGGCCAGTAAGTAAGGTGGCATAAAAATCCTGATAGGATATTTCAAGCCATCTTCCACTGTACAGGACTAAAATGATTGGCTGTTTTTTCAATCTCACAGAGACTTCAGCATCAAGACTTCTTCACATCAGTGTATCTTCGGGTCTGGAACCTGCAAGCCATAGTTTGTAGGATACTTTGCACCAAAGTCTACATTATACCCCCCATTCATAAAATGTAGACCCCAATAGGTCACGGATTTATCGCTGCTTAATGCAGCAAAGAACCCTCTGAATGGGGAACAAGCTGGTCACATGACTTTGACAGGTCATGTGACCAGGTTTTCCTCCTGTTCTTTGTTTCTTCATTCATTTTAATTTAGAATCCCAATGCATTTGTGTGCCATTCTATTGCTATATAAATGAACTCCTCTGTGAATCTAAGATTAGCCAGGGAGCTTCACAGAGCATGATGGGTCTTCTATCCCCCAGTAAGTGAAGAACTACAGGTTGTTTATCAATAAAATGTTTAATCCCCTCTTACAAAACCATAAGGAAAGTGTCAGTCCCTGAAAGCTAAATTATCCTCTACATTTTTCCTCCATTATTAAGAATCTACCAAAAGAATGTGGACACTGTTATTTGTCTGTGTTGGTAGCAGCCATATGGCAGAGAGGAATGGAATTTCTGGTCGGGAGATAAAGGGAACCAGCATTTAAGTCTGAATTTCAGAAGAAATACAGATAGAATTGGCCTTTAACAAGTAAATAATAGTGACTAATTTTTAATTGTATTCGGTATATGCTGAAGACTGGCTTATTTGCACATTACTTATAAGTGCTCTGCTCCTTTCTTTGTAGTGATGCACAGTGATTTATACTGGGTTATTCTCCACTCGCAATCCAAAACTAAAGCTAGCCATATACCAGTAGAATTTTTGTTTTTGGAATGTACATTTAGTTTTCCAATAGTTAACGTGGGCAAATTGACGATAGTTTATCAGCTATAGTGAGCTGATAAAAACCCAAAGGTTACCTATGTTACCTATGGTATAGGAATGTATGAAAAATCAATGCAAAGAAAGTTTGTGTGTAGGGTATGCTTAATTGTGTTTAAAAGTGGATTGACACTTAGTTTATTACATCTAGGATAGCCAGTATTTCCTCATGGGATGATGCCTGTGTAAGATAATTAACCACTTGAATACCGAAGCAACTTTTTTTTCCACACATTTGTAAAATCTGAATTTTTGGCTAGAAAACGGCTTAAAACACCCAAACAATTATATATTGTCTGAAAGCAGTGGCCTTTTAAAAAATTTTTATGTTGCACAATAAAATACTGAATTTTTTTTTGTAAAAATATAAAAGATGGGGTTGCTTTGGTAAATGGATACCAAACATGTCATACATATAAAATTGCGCATGCCTGTCAAATGAAGGTACCCGAAATTGTCTATGGTTTAAAAGCCTTTACCTCTCATCAATTTAGAGCTGGCAGTGATTACTGGTCCTAGAATTATTGCTCTCCAGCATTTCCAGCGGTATGT